GCCAAGACAAAGGCAGGCTTCTCTTCTCAGGTGATCTGATCTACTCCAGTTTCCCAGGTGATCGGGCAGTAGCATATGGGGTCTCAAAGGCTTGTCCTAAAACAAGCAGTCATCTAAGTGGGGCATCAACTTTGTCCACGTGGAAGAAGCACACCAGCCTGTGTGAGCCGAGGATGGTAAATAACAAACCCCAAGTTCTAAGGAGGGAATGCTATCAGACACCAGTTTGCAGAGACTAGGGGTGACGGTGGATAAAATGGATAAAATCCATTTGCAGGGTCCCCACAGGGATTATGTCTCCTGTGAATCCCCTCTGACCAGAGGGGAGGGATGTGAATAGCCTTGCTGTCAGACAGAGAGCATCGCAAAGCCAATTATGGCTGATGTAGTTAGGTGAAAATGCAATGCCTTATCATTTCATCTCCCTTTTTACCCATTTTAAAGTTGTTTCAGCTTGTCATATTTTCTGCTTTCTCTTTGCGGCTTTTTTATGTTTTGTCTAGTCATTGCTGTTGGCTTGCTTCCTATTTGCATTTTGTATGATTTTCTGTATATGAAATCCAGGAGACGTAGGTCCATGGAGACAGTAGCTGGATAGGGACATGGCAGGGGAGGATGGGTGGAAATGGGAGCTAACAACGATGAGGATGAGAAGAAAATATTCAGAAATTTACTGTGGTGATGATTGCACAAATATTAATATGCTCGAATGGTTAAATTGTGTGGTATGTGAAGTATATGCCAATAAAACTATTTTTTAAAGAATTTTTAAAATATCTTCAAAAAAGTCAGAGACTCCTAGTGCTGTGGAGATGTGTGTTGTACCTTCCTAGACGTCTTTGTTTTAAACATTTTATTGAGGGCTCTTACAGCTCTTGTAACAATCCATACAGCAAATTGTATCAGGCACATTTGTACATATGTTGCCATCATTATTTTCTAGACAGTTATTTTCCTTTTTTTAATCATTTTATTGGGGGCTCATACAACTCTTATCACAATCCATACATACATAATTGTGTAGAGCACATTTGTACATTCATTGCCCTCCTCATTCTCAAAACATGTGCTCTCCACTTAAGCCCCTGGCATCAGGTCCTCATTTTTCCGCCTCCCCTCCCCCCTCCCCCCTCCCTCATGAGCCCTTGATAATTTATAAATTACTATTTTGTCATATCTTGCCCTGGCCGATCCCCAGACATCTTTCTTAGACATGTATGTATGTGTAGGCATGCATACAGAGGCATGTAAGCCGTCTTTTTACCAGATAGGATCATTCTATCCTGCATCTTGCTCTTGACCATCCGACACATCATGACAGTGATTAGAGAGCTACAGCCTCTCTTGCCCCGGCTGTAGTAGTCCACCCCAGACAGCCCGTCATCTGCCAGCCAGTCCACGGTTGGTAGGGGACTGTTGGTTTGGCCTTTGTAAGGAACACGACCACGAACATGCTTCTACCTACATTTGACCCTCGTGTCTATTTCCCAAGCTTAGACTCTCAGAATTAGAAATGCACTCCCAGAAAGCTTCTGCTAACTTTGGTTGCATTTCAGCTTCATAATAATACAACCCCCCCCCCCAAAACACACACACACACACACACTCACTGCCATCAAAGCAATGCTGCCTCATATCGAGTCTATAGGGCAGTATAGAACTGCCCTTGTGGGTTTCTAGACTACAGCTTGTTATGAGAGTAGAAAGTTCCATCTTTCTCCAGAGGAGCAGCTGGTGGTTTCAAACTGCTGACCTCCAGGTGAGTAGCCTAACATATAACCACTACTCTACCAGGGCTCCTAATAATATAAAGCACTAGTTAATATTTATTGTACTTTGATGCCTGATTCCATCATTTCCCTTCAACAGCTTTGTGGGGGATGTACTATTACGATCCCCATTGGTATGAATGAAGAAATGGAGGCTCAAAGAAGTGGAGGGGCGGGGTCTGATGCAGGTCTGCCTGACTTTGGAGTCTGGGCTTGGAACCCTGTGTGCTGCCTCTGCTGGGCGTCCCTTGGGCAGTCAGTGCGCAATAAGAATTTGTGTTGTGAGACTTGTTTGAGTTTTCGACCGGAGAATTTCGTGCAAATGTCTGTTGGTGAGATCGTGGGCACTACAGCTGGCAAGGGTGTCAGTCAGAGATTGTGTCAGTTTCTAAGGCTGGCGCTATCTGATGCTGACCCTCACCCAGAGCCCCAAAGTGCTCTTTCACAGGGGTGGCTTGATTCATAATGGTAGCAAAATGACAATGATGAAGTAGCAACAAAAATAATGTTATGGGTCAGCACCACATGAGGCACTGTATGAAAGGGTCTGAGCATTAGGAAGGTGGAGAACCACTGGCCCAGAGGCATCACCAAAGGAAGGCCTGGCGATCTATTTCTGAACCATCAGTCACGGAAAACCCTGTGGAGCCCAGCAATACTCGGCCAAAGGAGGGGTCGCCATGAGTCTGGGTGGACAGCCCCGGTGCTGGCCTGCGCGTGCGCAAGAGAACTCGGCCACTTGCTGAAAGAACAGGTCACCGCCTCACCGAGGGGAAGCACGCCCTTGGCACAGACGAGGGAGCCTCAGTTTGTTGGGAAATGCAATGAAGAGATCATGAGGTTCTTTAATAAGCTTTTTTGACGTCCCCTCATACTGTTAGGTTAGAAAAAAAAAACAAATGTCACAATGTTCTTTTGCATCACAGATCTTGAAGAAGAAGAAGAGAAGACTCCAGCCAGCCTATCCGTAGTAGCTCCCGTGGTAGTGTGGGGAGAGGTGGGGGTAGAGTGACCTATGTAAGCCTCGGTTTTCACCTTACACATGTCTGTTCTTTTTTTTTTCTTAATTATGTAGCATACATTGTTTTAACAATAGGTAAGCAATTTTTTTAAGAGAGGGAAAAAAACATTCAGAAAGTAGAGCGGCAGATAGCTAGCCGCTTCCATTTTCCACCACCCCACCCCACCCCCATAGGACATAGTTCTGATGCCTGGAGCTAGAGTGAGTGGGCATCCCGGCCACCTTCCAAAACTGTACTTTCAGGAAGGAGTATAAGTATTTACGCAGCCACCGGGGTCATAAAGTAGAAAGGTACAGGAGCAAGAGAGAGGAGAGGGGATGAACAATTTTTTACCTGAACATCACACAAAACAACTACCTCCCAGCTAGCAGAAGGTACCATAACACCTCTCCAACCACCTCTTCTACCTCCCAGCCCAACCCGCCAAACAGGAGGGGACCCTGCTCACCTCCCTGGACAGCGTCTGCCCTCCCAACCACCAGAGAGCTGCCCCAGGCACAGCAGACTCAAGGTCCAATCCTGAGGGCCACCATCATCAATGTCCACCACGCTTCCAGGGAGGCTGAGCAATGTCAGACTGGCTCCCTAGCCCAGGGCCACCCCTCGCTCCCCAGGACCACAGGCTGGGCTTTCCAAGACCCTGCCTGAGCCTGGCCAACCTTCTCCATGGATGCATTGACAGATTTGGATACTGGCTTCTTCCAGAAGTCCAATTTCTTCTCATTCTCTTTGGAAACCAATGGTTTTCCACGAGCCGGTTTGGGCTTCTTGTACCTCCCAGAGCTGTCGCGTTTCTGGAAAACAGCCCCCACTTCCAGGTCACCAGGAGGCATCTCTCCACCCCTTGGGGAAACAGAGATCAGAAACAGAGAGAGGAGCCACCCCACAGGCTACTCAGTAGACGGACTGCCCTGCGAAAACCACAGCAGGTGTCTAGTGGACGGAGGACCTGGAGACACCTGGATGCTGGAAAGCCGCGCTTTTCAGTTGCCAGCCCTTTCTGTTGTCCAGGGCAGGGCCTGGGGTTTCCCTTTGAGGAAGACCCTTTCTTCGTCCTACGGCCACCCACCATGGTTAAAGGGGGGGTGGAAGGGCACAGTTGCCTGCGGCGCGAATGTGATCATTGCCCTTCGTGCCTGAGTCGTATTCCTGCGTGACTGAAGTGTGTCTTCTTGTTCAGACCACACCTGACATGTCATGTTCAGGAGGTGACTCTTGGAAGGGGACATCAGTCCGACTTCTGGGAAGGGGAAACAAACTCGAGAGGGAGTTCAAGACCATGTGGGCAATGGCTCCATCGATCACACTGACATTTGGAGACCTCAATAAAAATGCCTTAGGGACACAGAAACTGCACACTGGGGACCCTCCCGGTGACTTCAGCTTAAGGATGGGGAAAGGAACCCAGGCTCTCACAGCCAATGGGGTTCTCTGATGGTCCTGCCCACGCTTCCAGAGTTGGTATTGACCTTGCTCTTGGGAAGAACCTTGTCCAGGCTTGAGGCAGCAAAGCAGGGTGGGTACAGAGACAGCCACCGCTGTCTCCACTGTTGGGCCCCAAACCGGGAGGTGCCCTGCCGGGGCCACTCTGGGAAATGGGCCACCAAATGAGAACACAAGCAAAAGGAGGCAGGTGTTGGGCCAGGCTCTCTCTCCCACCTGTGCGAAGCTCTGTCGGATGGACTCCCTTTCTCGCCAGCGTCTTATCATTGGAGGCGCGGACGCCAGGCTCTGCCTCAAGGTGGCATTGCCTAAAGTCCTGGTCTGCATGTGAATGAGCTCTGGGGTGGCCTTGTATGCCCACTTCTGCTCTCCCATGCAGGGCTTGCTGATCTCCGTTTCCTGCACCTGCACGGGGAGAAGGCAATCCTTGAGGGGCTGTGAGGGCCCGGAGGGGAGTGGGATTGCTGGAATGAATGTACCATAGGTCCTCCCAGCCCCCCAAGACCGGCCCTCCAGGGCCTGGCCTTGAACAAGAGGAACCCCATCCCAGGGTGGACTGTCCCACCTCAAGTACCCACAGGTAGGGCACTGCTCCTGAGAGGAGTGTTCATGGTTTCCAAGTCTGCATGAGTGGGTTTCCTGCCCCATGACAAGCTCCGCAGAGTCAACCAGATGGACGCTGAACGGCGTGTACAGGGGAAGCCCTGCCCAGCAGCCCCTCCTCTGACCCTTACAGGGGTCGCCAAGCATCTCTGGCCAACACAGTTGGAAAACCACTGGGCGAGGTGGCCCTCCCGGGGGCCCTCCGGCCGGCTGGAATCTGCTTCCTCATGTATGCTTCCACGGCCCTGAGGACCCGTGTCTGCAACTGTTGCGCTGTTGCTCTTAGCTGCCATCCAGGGCGCAGAGCCGTGGCGGCACAGAGGGCTACCCACCAGACTGCTAGCTCCAAGGTCAGCAGTTTGAACCCACCAGCTGCCCAGTGGGGGAAAAGGCTGAGACTCTCTGCTCCTGGAAAGATGTGACATCCCAGAAACGCAAAGGGGTATTTCTGCTCTGTGAGTCAGCATCAACCCGGCAGCGGTGGGTGGGTGAGTGGGTGCTGGCTGATTGGTCTCCCAACTGGTGGGGGGCCCATGCACAGGGGAAAGAAGTCCTGTCCGCTCCTGCCTCATCTCTAGGGCCCACTGCAGAGGAGGCTGCTGTGAGGATACCCAAGGCTTTCGCTGGTTGATTTTCATAGATTGCCAGGCCTTTCTTCTTAATCTTTGTTGGCAGCTCTGCTGAAGCCTCTTTGGTGTCATAGCAACACACAAGCCTCCGGTGGGAACGCATTGACTGGGCTGCCAAGCGGGTGCCTCAAGCCCACCCGCTGCTTTCGGGGAGGAAGATGAGGCTGTGGGCTCCCACAAAGATGCACAGTCCTGCGTTCCGGCTCACAGTACACCAGGTGGCTGTGAGCCGGAACGACACGACGGCCCTGGGTTTGGTTGGGGACCCGCCACTGCACTCACCCACGACCATGGATGACCACACGCCAGGGACTGTCTCCCCCGTGGGACCCCATGATTCGAGGATGGGGTCCCCTGCAGCCCCCAGCACGTGGCCAGGTTCGGTGTCCCTCGGCCCAAGGGCTTGATCGTCTGTGTCCCTTTCAGCCTAGGAGGAAACCTCCCACAACTCCCAAACTCAAGGTGGCATCTGCCTCCCAGCCCCAGACATAACCCCCGATCCCATCCAGAAAATGTCCTCACCACCCCTTCTGGTGTCTGGGGTCCCTCTGAGCCACCACTCATGTGACGCCGGCCCACCCCCAGGACGGCGTGCCCCTGCGGACCATACCTTTTTGGGCTGCAAAGGCAAGGGGCTCTCCGAGGCATTGAGCTTCAAGATGGGCTTGAACCAGTTGACGTTCCAGAAGAGGATGTCCCCGTTGTAGGAGGAGGTCCCGAGGAACTGGCCCTGGTACTTGGCCATGCTCAGAATGTCCTCCGTGTGGTAAGTGTGCCAGTGGTTGCACAGGAACACCGGTCTGGTCTTGTGCAACCTGTGGGCACAGAGCAGGGCCAGGAGGGCCACCGAGAGCTCAGTCTCTGATGGGCTCGGGCAGGGGGTGAGGGTGCTGGGGGGGGAAGAGGCTGAAGCTTTAAGATTCTGGGACTGGACTCAGATGAGGATGCCCTCCAGTGTCGGAGCAGAGACGAAGCCCTACCCTGCTGAGCTCACTCCCGCAGCCCTGGTACGTGCCCGCTCAGCAGCGCTGTCCTCAGGGTTTGACACAAGCTGATCTCACCGAGCAGGACCCTTGCCTTATCCTTTGCACACCTGGGGAAGGGCGCTTACAGGTGTTGCCCCCTCAGCCTGGACATGCTCATACCACCCCCAGCCCATCAGTGTCCGCTGAGACTCCTCCTGCTCCCCCTTCACGCTCAGGAGCGGCTTTTTGGATCACCTCCAAGACAAAGATTCTGCCCCTTTCTCTGTGGAAACCTGGGCTTTTCCACCCCCTGGTGCCCCTGACCCACTTCCTACTGGACCAGTGCCTGCCTCCCCGCTGCGCTGTGCAGACCTTAGACCCATTCCCAGCATCTAAGACAAAGCTTGAAGACAGCAGCCTCCGGGATGGTGACTTGATGAAGGGGCAGAAGGCCTCTTGGGCACTGCCCACTACTGATGTCCTGCCTGGTCCTGCAGCTGCCAGGGAAGCACCGGACTCACCTCAGATGAGTGATTCTTTTACTCCAACCTGTCACGTAGAACGCTTGGTTCATGTGGACAATCCCACTAATCTGGTAAGGATGAAAGACAGTGTGGCATTGAGAGAGCACCGCAGGGGCGGGTGGGGGTGGGGGTGGGGGTGGCGCTGGGCCCCAATGCCTTCCTGAAAGCACACAGCAAGGACCCAAAGCTCTTGCTCATTCCTCTGATGGATGCCCCGGGGTTCTTTCCACGCGGTCTTCCCCCCATTACCTCACAGCCCACTTAGAGAAGGCAGTTAGAATAAGAATTCAAAACCACGGTCATCGAGTCAAGAGCAACGCCCCCTA